ATAGGAGATATTGGTTGGTAGGATACCTTCTCAAGCATGAAGGGCTAGTTAGAGACATATTAGAAGTAGAAGCAAAGGTTAAGAGGAGTACAGGTAGATCCAGATTAGACTACTGTTCACAAATAATTAAGGATGAGGGATATTCTAGTTTTATGGAAGTGTGAAAATTAGCTCAGGACAGGAAAGAGTGGACAGTGTGATGAAGATGTAAACAATTTAGGTTAATTTTTTTGAAAAAGAAATAAAGAAAACGTCCACGAATCTGTAATAACATTTTACGATGTCCCAAATGAAAATACATTATACAGTATGTTTCATGTCATACATTATGTTCTATTGCCGAATATTTAGTTTTATCGTCCATATACAATGTTTTTTTCTAACTAGTCTTATTTAATGCACATTCAAATGAGATGTATTGTTCGTTACAGAGAGTGACCGTTTTGTTACGGAGGGTTAGTTGATTTTGAATTATAAATAGTTTTCTTCTATATTATGGTTTCGTTTCTCAAACTTTATTTTCGTTATTACATTAAATTTCTATATTGACGTATTGATATACAAGATTATATGCAAATATGTACTCATCGAAAAAAATCACAAAATTTCAGCAATAGCTAATTAGAAAGTTATGTATTTAATGCCTTTTTTATACGAGCTGCAAATATTAAATGTAAACAATTTTCACTTTATACTTAAGTATAAGTATATGAAGATGGATAACGACAAATATTAGCAAATGTGGTTTCACAAAATCTGAGTGTATTTCTACTTTCAGAGTTCGTGCCCTGTCCTCATTTTTGTTCTTGAGGTTCTCCGTGGTTCTTATTGACAACGGATAGCATGTTTTATTAATATTATTAAAGCAACTAAGATAATTTTAATTTTACTAAGTGTCCTGTAGATACGATTATGATATATTGAATATTAGAAAATTCTGGGGTTTATTTGTAAATCTGAGGATTTACCAGCATCCGCTGGTAAATGAAAGGATTTCGAGCCGATCTCGTTTTGTTTTACCATTATGGTTAGGTAGGCAAGTACAAATAATGACGATTAGTAAGTGTTGGGCTTAGCCCATCGTTCATGTTTCGCACCCGTACATCGCCGCGCTCCAAACATACACCTTTAACAATCTTTTTAGAATTTCTAAATTAACCGTTCGCAAGCTTAGAAGTGACTTCTTTTTGTTGAAGGTGACTCGACTCTGCGCTATCCTCTGCTTTATATCCCTACTACTCCTTCCGTCCTGACTTATCTGACTTCCTAGATACCTAAAATCAGTCAGTTCTTCTAATTTTTCGTTTCCTATCTTTATATTCGCCCTTTCCTTACTTTTCCTCCCTTGCAAACCAGTATTTTTGTTTTAAATTTATTTATTTTCATACAATACTGTTTTGTTAACACCTCTTCCATTTTATTTACAGCTATCTCTAACTAATCTTTGCTAGATGCTATATTATCTACAAATCTAAGCATACTAATCTTTGCCCCTATTTATCTATCCCTACAGTTGTACTGTCTTTAATGATGTTGATCGCGTCTTCGATGTACAGATTAAAAATTATCGGTGACAGTGTACATCCCTGTATGACTCCCTTCCTAATATTACTAGTAAATTCTCAGGTACCCAATTATTTACCGTTATGTAGGTATACTGATTCAGAACGAGAAAAAGTTCTTAATAACGGTTAATGCAATAAAAAACAATAAATAATGACAAACTGGTGTGTTGTAAGTAGAGCCATCTCATTATCAACACATCTACGGTTCTGTCTTCTGTCCACAAATGTGACATTATTCTAATAACTGGGTGAAGACATACATATATGAACAGTACATACTGATCTATACTTACGTAGGTACATACGTACAAACATATCTATTATACAAAAGGTACAGTTACTGACTAAAGTGTCCGCTAGTTATATCTTACCGTTGTCGGATCACGTTCACACGTTTATGCGAAATTATATTATTATTACACTTATTCTGTGTTCTAGTGGTTCTAGTTTGCAAAACAGTTTTCTGGCTTACCGCAACATTGCTCTAGTTTCACGCGAAACGGAATAAAAAGGACTTATTTTGTTGTTGTAAATGCAATTATGCCCATAATGGAATGTACAGTTATGATTTACACCTGCAAAACCAGTTGGACATTTAAATTTTTGTAAAATTTTTTCTAAGGTTCAGTACTTGTACCTATACCTATGAATGTTGTAATCAAAACACAATAAATGTAATACGCACTTCTATTAAAATCGAACCCTGACAGCGGCCCTAACAGGTCAGAAGTCAGTTTTTTAGTTGAGTTTTAAAATAGTTTACTGTATAATTCATTCATTGTTTTAATTTTCACTCGTTCTGGAAATTCGATATTAATGAAAGTAGCTGAGTCTTTACAGTAAGAAAGCGTTTTAAATTCTGAAGATCGAAAATCGCAGCAGTCACTACCTCCAAGAATCAATCCTTACAACGAGACTTGAAGTTAAATCAGTTTTAATTTATACCTACTTTACCAACGTAGTATGCATCTCTCGCAAAATAGTACTTTTATTAGAATTGTTTTATATAGGTAAAGGAAAACGTTCAGCGCATATAGGAATTTCACATTTCATTGTCGACATTTTCTCATTTTATGTATGTCGCTTGAGCGAAAATGTGGAATATATTTTCTCATCCACGAAAATATCAAATGTTTCTTTGAAAACTATTCTAAACTAAGTACAACCCAACTCTAACTCATTATTATGATAAATGTCCCTACTTATTACTTGGTCCACAACAGTAATATTACACCATAATATTGTATCACTATGTACCTGAAGAACAAATCGTTAAAGATACTATACTATCTAGTATACAGCAATAAATTTTTGATTTTACAAGTTCAAAATCATCACATGCGCTAATCACACTTAGGTGAAATCCCTCTTTTTATTTTGATAATAATTCTTTGACACGTTTTAACGTTTGTGGACTATACCATTTTTAATCAAAAACTGTGAGCATTTCTTCTGTGATATCTTTGGCGACATTTTACATCCAGGTCTACGTGTCCAGAAATATTGACTCTACATGTGCATCATTTTACATTTACACACGGATTGAAAAATACAAAGTCTATCAGGATGGCGGTCTACAAATACGCTTATTTGATAAGATATCTATATCGTTTGTAAATCATTTTATTGTGTTATTAGAGTGTAAATACCTGGATCACAAAATATTTGAATATACCACAAATAGCGCGGTAAACGCCATCTGTAGTACGATGCTACATTTTAGGATTACGTATGCTCCAGTAAGGTCCGTTTAAATATATGGATATCTACTTGCTGAAACGAATTCCGGCGTAGCTAACCTCAACGTGATAGGCACGTTACCATAATCGAATAAAATAATTCGAAGTGGTCTGTATTCTGTCGAAACTGCCAGACGCGGATCGCGATTTCGATCTTTTTAGATCTCATCAGCG